TAGATAGCTAAATGCTGGAGATCTTATGCACAGCATAGTGATTATAGACAACAATGCTGTATTACAAACTTTAAAGTTGTAAGACACTAGATCTTAATTGTTCCCAGCACAGAAAAGATAGTTATATGGCATGGTAGAGGTGTTAATGCTTCCACAGTAATCATACTTCATTTTATAAATGTATCAAACACATTGTACATCTTAAACTTAAACAATGTTTATGTCAATTATATCTCGATAAAAAAGTTTAAAAACTATTACTGTAAGTTCTCTTAAGAGCTAACCAAATAGAGAACAATGTCCAGATCCCAAAATGCTAGACACAGTCTATTGGTTTTCTCCCTTGTTGAAATAGTTCAATGTTACTTGTTTTCCACAGAAAAATATTAGCTGTAATTTTCTCTATATATCTTACTTGCAGATGTAAATTAAAACTAATTTGAAATATATACAATACAGTTCACATACATCAGAATGAGATGCTCACACCACAAGAGGTCCAGGTGAGTTATAGCAGAATCATGGCCACAATTCCACACTCACTGCTAGGCTTTGCACACTGAACAGAGAAGCTACAAAATGACCATCCCTATTTACCTAACTCATTCTCTTCCACTACCTTTGTGATTTACACCAACACACATCCCATAAGCAGACATCTCACATTAAATGTGACTGTAATTAACTTTACTGTCTCTGCCTTAGTTCCAGATTTCACAATAATATTCTCACATTTCTTCAGAACCCTGGAATTAAACAACCCAGGTCTAGTGACCCGTTTGTACCCACTCTTATCCCTGAAGATAAATGGCCTGAGAGAGGAACCCAGAGGCATGCAGATGAGGAAGCCTAGCACATGTGGCATGCACAAGGAATGTTCACAGTGCTGTGGGGGCCCTGCAGCAACACGAGCCAAATCTGGAGCTCTGAGACTTTCTGGCCATTCCTCCTCTCATCTCTCCAAAACCTGTTGTGCCCAAATCTGCCCACTTCTTTCACCATTGAACCAATAGGCTACTCAGGAGTCCACTGCCCCACATCCAATCAGCCTGCGGAGTGCACGCTTGACATCCTTGTTGCGGAGGCTGTACACCAAAGGGTTGGCCAAAGGGGTAATGGCAGTGTACATCACGGCAGCCACCATGTCCTGATCCTGAGAGTTCTGGGAAGGAGGCTGGAAGTAGACCCAAATGATGGTGCCGTAGAGGAAGCCAACCATGGTGAGGTGGGAT